GAGCCCCCTAAGAAAGGCATAAAAATAGTGATATTTTTAATGAAAACAAGTCCATATATAGAATAACATGAGCATGCTCTATGAATAACGTGATACTATTGAAAGCATAATTAATAAATACCAGCGATTGGACAGAAAATTGCATATCCTTAGGCCTAGTTTAGTTTCTTCACTAAAGTTTAGTCCATATCCCATTAGATGTTTGGACACGTGTATGGAGTATTAAATATAGACTAAAAAATAACTAATTGCACATATTGCGACTAATTTGAGAGACGAATTTTTTAAGCCTAAGCAGCGCATGATTTGGCAATGCTGCACTACAGTAAATCTACAGTAACATGTGCGGGTGGCGGACTGATTAGGCTTAATAAATTTGTCTCACGAAATACTAATGGTTTCTGTAATTTATTTTATTATTACTATCCGAACACGACATTCCTAACTTTAGCCCCGAAATTGAAACAAAGCCTTAGTGGCATTTACTACTCCACTCGTGCAAACGTGATTGGGACAAGAGGATTACGAAGACATGCTGTTGATATAGCACCAGACGGATGGGACTACACTACACAGTGCCCCGTGTGGGTGGTGGTCAGCATGGCGCCGTTTGTAGGTTTGGAAAAAGGCGTTGCATGGACCATCGAAGAAATTGGATAGATTCTAGTGATAATTATCGTGACGGTTGCGAGAAAAAGATTTATTTGACATGAAACCACATACATTGACAGATTAGACGCTTGCAAGAGAACCATCTGAACCACTTTGTTTTTAGTATCTTGTAAGGCAAAGGCTTTCACCGCCATTTTCATCCATAGTACCGAGTTACAGACAGTGCACTGCTGCTTCGACGAACTTCCGTCACAACGGATTCGCGTAAAGAATCCTTCGTCCCATGTTAACCGCACTCAGGATTGGCCGCAGGTGGAGTGCTGAAAGAAAGGGAAACACAAACAAAGCCGAGCGCGTGTTTAGTTTCAGTAATTTGGAATTTGAGGCTACTGTAGCACGTTCGTTTTTATTTGACAATTAATGTTCAAACGTGGACTAATTAGGCTCAAAACGTTCGTCTCGTAATTTTCCACCAAACTGTGTAATTAGTTTTTTTCGTCTATATTTAATGTTTCATACATAGGCCGTAAACATTCGATGTAAGGTACTGTAACACTTTTTAGAATTTTAAGGTGAAACTAAACAATGGCTGAGCTGGTTTGGGTTGCATTGCAACGCTGGCCGGGATGCACGGATACGGACAGCGACGGTGGCATGGGTGTCCCTACACTTGTATACTAGTCTAGCACACACACCTGCCCTACACCGATACTAGTACACGCGCGCGCGCACGTAGCGACACTATCCCAGATACTGCCTGTCCTTTCTTGGTTCTCGCAAGGCAGGGGGCATCGGCAGGCGAGGCCACGGCGATCAGCGGCGGGGGCAGGCAGACCGGCGCCAACACCGCGGCTGCGGCTGGCCCTGGCGCTGCCCGTTGCAGCAAGGCAGCACGGGAGGCGAACAGGAACAGTGCGAGTGCCATACAAGTCTGCCGTGGCACTGGCTCTCTGGGCTCTGGCTGCCCTGCCGGCGGCGGCCGGCCATCTGCTCCCGAGAAGAGGGCGGCCAGCGCTGCCAAGTGGGCTTATGCAGGACCCACATGCCATGGAGCAGTTCCTCGTGGCTCAAGGATCCCAGTAGCAGTAGATGCCTGCCTCTGAGGACTGACCACTGATGAGTGCGCTCAAGTCTCGTTTGTCAAGGCGAGGCGAAGGCCGGAAATATCTCGTTCGGCGGGTAGAGTTTTCGCTGAAACTGACTCAAAAATACTATTCTTATTGAACTGGTGTGAGAGAAAAATACTGTTTCGGTTGAAAAAAGAAGCCGAACAAATCGAATATGGGATAAGCCCACTAGATATGACACGGTTAGTCGGTTACAGCAAATCAGAATACGGACTGTTGAGAAATTCGAGTACCGTCTTGTAGCGCTATACTGTACTACGTATGTTTTTTATTAGAGCAACGAAAACAGAGATCGTGATGAGTTTACTGGTTTGTACAATTTACATGACCTGCGATCTACTAGGTGCGAGTTTAGTTCGGCAAAGTTTGCATTTGCATAGTACATGATTTTCCACTGTAGTATTTCGTTTGTATTTGTGAGTTATTGTCTAAATATTGACTAATTAGGCTCAAAAGATTCGTCTCGCAAAGTTAAAGCAAACTGTGCAATTAGTTTTTGATTTCGTCTACATTTAGTACTCCATGCATATACCGTAAGTTTGATGTGACGGGAAATCTTCTTTTTATATAGTACATTTTTTGAGAAGTAAACAAGGGCTAGGGCCTCGCGCAAAAGCCAACTAACCGTCTCTACTTCCTCCTAGGTTTTTTTTTTCCCACAGGTCGTGTTCGCTTATCTTATAATCTGTACTTTTTAGTTTGTCTTTTTAGCTGGAAGAGTGTTTTTCTCTCCCAACAAATCAGCCAGAACAGTATTTCGATTTGTTTTCTCAGCGAAGCGAATGGGGCCATAATATTCCTGTGCTGTAAACGATGCGAGTGGCAACTGAACAAATGCTGTTGTAGCGATCGACAGCCCGATGGATCGAATTGGTAGGCTTCACCAAAAACAGAACTTGTACTAAAGTTACTATGATTATTTTGATATATTTTTGCTATGTAGAACTAGCATAACTAAGGATTCGTGAGAAAATCTTTTTGCCCTATGCCTGTCTTGCCTCATCTTATTCATGTGATGGATCCCTTTAAATCACATGGTTTAACTGCCACCATCTAAATCATGTGTTAAAGCAATCATATCACTGGAGTAAGGAAAAAACAGAGACCACATGATTTGTTCGCACTCGTAAATTCATATGATTTTGGTTACCAACTCTCTGGCCCTGTTTAGATCCCACCCAAAATCTAAAATTTTCTAAGATTTCTCGTCACATCGAATCTTGCAGTACATGCATGGAGCATTAAATGTAGGTAAAAAAATAACTAATTGCACAGTTTGCCCGTAATTAGCGAGACGAATTTTTTAAGCCTAAATAGTCCATAATTAGATATTTTTTTGCCAAATACAAACGAAAATGCTACATTGTCCATTTTCCAAACTGGAAGGGATCTAAACAGGCCCTTTGACTCACCTGAGTTTTGTATAGACGGCTGCAGTAATTGAACTCACGGTATTCATACCTCTGAAAAACAGCACCAAGGTTAATGAACTAACTATGCAGCGAACTACTCTTACGTTCTAAATAATAAGATGTTTTAATATTTTTAGATTCATAACTTTTGTTATGTATGACTTTATTTTCGTTGTACATGACATTGATGCTTTGTCCAAATATTCCCACCGAGTCATTGACCAACCAAACACCGTTTTTTCTCCCCCTCCAAGAGTACCGGTGTACTACCCTGCTGCTTAAAACGATCACTATCACCAGGTACTGTTAACAAGGAACATTCTAGTGACAACTATTATAAACTTTAACTCGATATTTCTGTTGACTTGTTGAATTCAGTTGTTTGAAAGCGATTGAGTTGATTGGTCTTGAAAAAAAATACTGCATTCGTCCTGTAACACGATGAATCATGAGTTTGTCATAAGTAGTATAAGATTGATCAACTTTTAAAGAAGTAAAACAAAAACACTCTCACTCACAAAATAAATCAACTCGTAGAATAATCACCCTAAGTCAATTTATCTTGAGTTCGACCAATTTATAGGGAAGAATAAAAATACTTATAACTCTAAATAAGTAGGCTATGAAATACATTTCTGGGTGTATCTAGTAATACTAATTTAATATCACAAATGTTAGTGTTCTTTTCTAAATATTTTGATCAAATTTAAAATAGTTTGACTTAGGACAGTTTTAGAAGTTGGTTTATTTTATTACGGATGGAGTATATCTCATAATGGATCTAAGGATGCTCACTTGATTTCGTATTTAAAAAGAAACATTGATAAAACTTAGAACATTTTCATTCGAAACAAACTCAGAATCACGTGTATTCAAAGACAGGGGATTAATCCATAACGTCAGTATACATTTGCTAACAGAAGCACTGTGTTTCATTCAATGCTGCAGTGGTTCAGGAGTGCTACTACCAAAATGTTTGATCAGCACCGAAGACTAAAAACTCTGGTGGGGTTTGACATGATTTATATGCCAATGATAGCACACACAACTGACACCTCTCCTAGTCTCAGTTTTTAAAACGGGCCGTAACGTATAAAGAGCTTCACAATCCGGCAATCTTAATAGGAAGAGAAACAGTTGAAGCGTTAAGAAAACAAAGGTCACGTCCTACAGATTATCTACTCACTTCGTTCCAAAATATCTATCGTTTTCGTTTCCAGAGAAATATTTTTAACAAAATATATATTAAAAATATTAATATTTATGGTTCATAATTGATATCAATGGAAAGATCTTTGAATCTAGTTTTTTAATAAGTTTATTTAAAGATACAAATGTTGTACGTATTTTCTACAAATCGATTCAAAATTACGGCACGGAAACAAAAAAAAGACCAATAATTTGGGACAGAGGGAGTAGATCAAATCCTAACCCAAATTTAGCAACTTGGTCAACAGTTGCTGAAGAAAAGCTCAATTAACCCCGGCCAAAACCTGCAGGGTTCGCCTTGGTTTTGGAGCTAAGGCTGTGTTTAGATGCCAAATTTTTTTGCAAAATGCTATTGTAGCATTTTTTTTATTTGACAATTAGTGTCCAATCATAATCTAATTAGGCTTAAAAGATTCGTTTCGTGGATTTCGTCTAAACTGTGTAATTAATTTTATTTTTTATTTATATTTAATGCTTCATGCATACGTCAAAGATTCGATGTGATAGGAAATCTTAAAAAATTTTACAAAATTTTCTGAAACTAAACACTGCCTAAAGAGCGAAGGCTATTTTGGAGGAGTAGAACCGTAGAAGGGGAAAGAAAGGGCCCCAACGCCTTTATTCCTTTCCTAATATCATGTCAGTGACTTCGTATGTTAATGATATAATGTAAGATATCATTCATAATAGTGGTAAATATGTAAATGCCTCCATGTTTCTCAGCTCCTTTGCTGTTTGCTCCCTCACTGCCCACTGCCGCTGGCCGCTGCTGCTCTCCCACTCCCCTACTCTCCCCTCTGCTTCTCTGCTGCCCATCCCAGCTCGTCTTCTCGAACAGCGCGAGCGCGCAGACGGGGGAGCAGCGTGTCCGTCCGTCCGTCCGTCCTTGCACTGTCTGCAGCCTCCCTCTCTCTGCCCGCCCCATCTGGCCAGAGGCCATCTCCCTCCCCAGGCCTTCAAATCCACGGCCGTGCCACCCGCTGAGCTGCTGCCCCGGTCCTTGCATTGCTCGACCGCGCTGGTCGCCTCCGTGCCTTCCGCCGTGTTCCTGGGCGCCGCTGCTGGGCTCATTTACTTCCGCTCCTGTTCTGCCTCTGGTGGCGTTTTCTTTTATGGCCTGGAGCAGCGTTTAACTGCTTCCGCCATTGATCCGGCGACCTCAGCTCTGGGTTTGCTCTCGTGTGTGTGTGGAACTGGAAGCCTTTCTCAGCGCTCAAAATCCCGCATTTGATCGAGGTTTTGCCCGTCTTTTCTCGCTTTCTTGCCTTCACCGGTAGCGATTTCTGGTGTTGGGGGTGCCACCAACAGGTTGTTGCCGCACCGAGGGTGTCGTCCTGCTCTTGGTCTTGTTCCGGAATCGTGCGTTCTCTTCGGCGATCGCTTCCCTTTTTCATCTTCCCTCCGTGATCTCTCTAACTGTATCCTTGGCCCCTTTGCTCCTTGCTTTCTTCTCTGCGCTGCCTTGGAGTGTTGCCAAATAGTAGTTCTTTGGGAGTTCACTGGTTCGTTAGCCGGCCCATAGTTTGTGGACAAACAAGGGCCAGTTCGGTCTATTTCATTTCACACAAAAGGGGAAAAAACATTAGGTGGCGGAATCCTGTTCTTTCCTGATTCCTTTTGGAGATACCGTTCGAGAGGAAGTAAAAAGCGGCCAAGCTTGGAGGTTCTGAGGAGGGAGGAACATATCCCTTGCAGCTGCATGAGGAAGCATTGAGACAATGAGAGATGACAATTCAAGCAAGAACAAGGTAAGCGTGTTTCCAGATTGGCACCTCCATCATTTTCGTAACTGATGTTTCCGTGTTCGTCTCTGATCGTGTTTTTTTGGTTGTTATTGGTGCGCAAAAAAAGCTGTCCTGGTCCAAGACCCTTGTTAGGAAGTGGTTCAACATCAAAACAAAGGCGAAGGACTTCCATTCGGATTATGCAGCTGACGAAGGTACATTCATCTAGCAACACCACCACGTCTTTTCACTATCTGATCTAACAGCAAAGATTCTGCACATAAAATTCTGCATGATTTCTGTTATTAAACATGTTTTTACCACAGTAGGTTGCAGTAGGATCAGAATGCTTGTTCTTTTCATGCGCAAATTGGCCTCATACTCCCTGTTCTCTTCAGTCAACCTCACACACACATACACACGCGGTTGCAGAAGCAAGCAGAATATGCTAGCGACCCCTAATAAACTAGGATTCTCTTTTTTAGTTTTTACTGTATCTGTGCTAAAAAATTCTTCTGAAAATTTCAGTCGGGGTGCAGTGGAGGACCAGCTTCTCAGATAGAGATGCATGCAAATCCAAGAAAAGTAGGACAGGTACATTTTGCTTGCCCCCTGACAGTAACTATGGTATCTTCAGATTTCTTTTTCACCCCATTGTTTTGTTTCGTGCTAAACTGCAAATGTCATGATCTAGCTATCTTTATGTTTCGTGGTGAGTGACTGAGTTAACTTTATGTTTACATACATAGAGAGGTTGCCTAAGCGGAATGTGGAGCGAGATGGTAGAGTAGGAAATGGATTTGATGGTGCTTATATTACAAACACTCAGGACTACAGGTAAATAGATTGTTTGGTTTATAAGACTCGACCAATCCACTAATCATTGGTTTAAGGAAACTCCTGTGATATGACAATCCATATATTTGTGTGTATAGGGTCTTCGTTGGTACGTGGAATGTGGGCGGAAGGTCACCATCTAGTCATTTGAATCTGGAAGACTGGCTTCATACTTCTCCTGCTGCTGATATATATGTGATAGGGTATAATTCTGCATTTTACTAAATCAGATTACTTCTCTCGAAACTAAGAAGCATCTCTAAAAACTAAAAACTCAAATAAAAAAAGAACCTAATACAGGTTGTTATGCCAGGTTTCAGGAAATTGTTCCCTTGAATGCTGGTAATGTTCTATTGACTGAAGACAATGGTCCAGCGAAGAAATGGGTTTCTCTTGTTAGAAAAACTCTAAATAATCTTAACCAACAAGGCTCTGGTGTTTATAATTACCACACCCCCTCACCAGCTCCAGATCCAATTGTCGAGCTCAATGTTGACTTTGAGCGATCATCAAGAAGGCAAAGGAACTCGTCATTTTTCCAGCGACGTTCATTCCAATCCTTCAATCGTAGTTCAAGGATTGACATGATGGATCCACACTCGTTAGTGGACCGTCGTTTCAGTGTTTGTGACCGGATTAGCTTCGGGAGCAGGCCAAGTGATGTTGACACCAGTATGAGGTGTGGTGGGTCATCTGATGATGAGAATATTGACGAGGAATCACCTAGTGGTATATTCTTCCCACCAATGCCATGTGCATATGGTGCTCCACTATGCACTGATTCTAGGTAAGTATCTCAACTTAGGACACTTGAAGATAAATAGCTCATCTTTCCTCAAAGTTAATTTGCTTTCTGAGCTAATTGTATGCAATAATTCCCTGTTATAGAGTAGTATTTCACTGAAATTTTCATCATTGAATTCCCCTGAGCTGAAATTAAGACTTCAATGACAAATCAGGTATTGCTTAGTTGCCAGCAAGCAAATGGTTGGAATTTTCCTCATGGTGTGGGTACGAAGTGATATAAGGGAGCATGTGAAAAACTTGAAGGTTTCATGTGTTGGTAGAGGACTGATGGGCTACCTTGGAAACAAGGTACAATTTGTTATCTTCATTTCTGTTAGGGGTTTGACATATAATATTTGCACCAAACTCTGCATGTACAATGTAACTTTTTTCAACTATTGTTTAAGATCTTAGCTTTATATGCATCTGTTTTATTGAACTTTTTTTGTGTAAGCCCTATTCCTGATTTCAGACTTTTTTTTTTCAGGGATCCATATCAATCAGTATGTCTCTGCATCAGACAAGCTTCTGCTTTGTTTGCACTCACTTAACATCAGGCCAAAAAGATGGCGATCAACTTAGACGAAATGCAGATGTAGTGGAAATCTTGAGGAAGACCAGATTCCCGCATGTTCATGGAGCAGGTGACAAAAAGTCACCAGAGACAATTCTGGATCATGAGTGAGTAGTGCACTAGTGCTTCTCGTTTTCTGCTATTTCCAGACCAGTTAAACTCTTCATAGCTAAAAATCGAAGAAAAAAGTTCTAAAGCAGCAAATCTTATTCTATCAATTTTATTTCTTTTCAGTCGTATTATTTGGCTTGGGGATCTGAATTACCGGATAGCTCTTTCCTATCGCTCAGTGAAGGCTTTAGTTGAGATGCACAACTGGAAACAGTTGTTGGAAAAGGACCAGGTTAGCGATTGTCATGCGGACTTATCACAGAGTTATGCCTCTTGTTATGGAGATGCCTTCGTTTGGTTATCTTATTCTCGAAATTTCTGTTACAGCTTCGCATAGAGCAAAGATTTGGTCGGGTCTTTGCAGGCTGGAAAGAAGGGAGGATTTACTTTCCTCCCACGTACAAATACTCATACAACTCTGATAGATATGCTGGCGATGACATGCATCCAAATGAGAAGCGAAGGACACCAGCATGGTAAAATCCTCCCCCACCCCCAAAAAGAACTGAACTTATTGTCATAATATTCACCTTTGATCGCTCGCCTGAAAAAGTATATGTTTATTGTGAGCAAGCACCTCTCTTCTGCAAGCACTCACCTCCTGATATATGTATTGCTTTCTGTAGGTGTGACCGGATTCTATGGTATGGACGAGGTCTAACCCAATTATGTTACGTGCGTGGCGAGTCTCGGTTCTCGGATCATAGGCCTGTGTATAGCATTTTCACAGCAGAGGTTCAGATTCCGAGCCAAGCTCAGTTTGGCGGCATCACTCGATCTGCGTCCCTCCTGGGGCTGGACGAGCTACCATACCCGACTTATCCACGCAGTTACATGGACATAAATTTTTACTGATTGTGCATCTCGATGGAGGATGGATGGAGCCAAGCCAAGGTTTGTATTCTATACTGCTGGCACTGGCGGCATCCTAGTAGGAGTAGTATTGTTTAAGCCTCGTTGCTCTGACTGATGCTCTGAATTCCATGTGAAAGCATTCCTTCTACTCATCATAACCCCCCATGTGGTGTTCACTGCAGAGTTCAGACAGACATTCCTCGTTACCTGAGTGGCAAGGCGCACCTTCTGATGACTGACTGACTGAACTTCATTTCTCCTAAGGTTCCATCAGTCGGAATGTTTGCAGCTAACAGGTGACTGACTCCTGAGCTATCCCATGCCTTTTGCCATGTGTTTCTGTGCCCCTGGTGTCTGGAGTCTGCATGCGCAATGTTTTCTCAAATGATGTTTGGAAATTTTGCTGCGATTGACGCCCCAATTCCTACCGTCTTCAACGTGCAGATACTCGAGGAGATGCTTTCTGATTGCAAGATTATTAGGTATGGTCTGCTGAAACATGTCAAAGATCATTCTTGTTAGATTTCAATCAAGCAGTTGCAGTATGACTAATAGTACATGCTCTCTTTACCATGAATGAACAGGAATATTTGCACAGTTTTGAATCTAACCATCTGCGAGTCCCGGTTTACTGGAGAAAAAAAGGAGTGTTTTTGTGTCAAGATAAAGCTTATCCCTAACATTCTGAAGGTAAATTGGTCTTGTGCTCCCGTTGGAGAATACCCCCTTCGTGACACGATTCTTCCTTTCCCCGGCCGTTCGAGCTAGGCCGGCCTGGTTTCTTCTTTTTGTTTGGTTTTTTTTGCTTTTGGTCTCCTGATGTAATGCAACACGAGCCGCGCCATGGGCTCAATCAAATATTTTGTTAAGTCGGAATGAAATGATGGCTTGTACAGCAAACTGTTCCCGTCAGGCCGTCACCTTTGCACAGACCATGGTAGAATATGCATGCAGCCTCTGTTCATGCTTGCGGCGAAATGATCACCTGAACAGCATGCATGCAGGCGTGTCATTCGATTTCTGAACGCTTGTGCACAAAGCAAACCGTGCTGAAAACGCAGAGGCTGCTGCTGCCTCAATCCTCTTTGTGCTGGCCTCTGCTGGGGGCTGCAAGTTGCAACTATAGGTTTTGCTTTGCTCCATCTCTTTTCCCTCCGGAGAAGAAGGAAATGTATATACTCCTATGCTAGGCGAAGAAAAAGCAAGAAGCGGTGTGGAAACGGCAGCCGGCAGGGGACATGAAGGCAGCGGGGACCCAGGCCAAAGGAGGGCAAGGCTCTGATGGAGAATAGGGAGTACTCATCTCAGAGGGGTGCATGCCATGGCATGGCAATGCCGATGCCATGCCGAGCAGACAGGCATGTACCCCTGTAGTACTACTGGTCTACTACTTGTGGTAGCAGCACCCCTGGTTGCTTTATCAAAAGAATAGAAACCAAAAAAAAAAAAACTGAGACGAGACGACGCGACGCTCGCCCGGTCCAAACTTCGAAGCCGCCCCCAAAGCGGGTGACTCCTGAGTCCTGACTAGCATCTCGGTCTCGGTAGGCAGGAGAGGTCGAGAGGACCACTCTCCGTTACTTTGTTTCGTTCACTTTTGCCCCGTGGAGTACGAACCCTAGGCTGATTTCGCAAACAGTACTGATACTACCGCTGCAATGCTGCCTCTGAGTACTTGAACGCCTGCAATTTTGGATCAGCTACTACAGCTAGTCTACGCCTCCAAGTCAGCAGTCAGTACCATGCCATATGCCAAGGCAAAGAATAGGCAGCAGCAGGCCATACCTGTACAACTAAAAGTGCGTGCAGACTGCAGAGGGCTTGAGACGTAGGAGTACGTACGTACAGTACGCAGTACATAACAAAGCGACGAGACAGTGCCACAAATTCAGAGTTTAGCGTAAGCTAAGCTGGTTTTTGCTGCTGCCAGTGCCAAGCTTCGCATGGCTGGAGCTGGCCTGGAGCCGGACGGGGCGGCGGACTGGCGGGAGACTGGAGGAGATTTATTTTAGCCAAAATGAAGGTCAAAATGAAACACAACTTCTCGGGTCTTCGTGTCGGAGTCGGACGGACGTACCTGCACGGCCGCCTGGACAGCGCCGCAGCGAGGAGTCGTCTCGTTGCCACCATCGCCCCTCCAGGGCTCCAGGTCCAGCGATCCGGGGCGGCAGCGACCAGCGTACTTGCTGCGTGGGCCGTGTGAGTTGGGACTCTGAGGCCCAACCTTGTCGCTCCGTTCCTTCCTTGCAGGCCGGATAAGCATCCCTGATTTACGTCTCCGACGGCCCACAGCCCACAGCCCAGACACTTAACGACTACGGAGCCCAACAACGATGAGATCCATCAAACCAACCAAACCCGCTCGGAACTTGGGACTGACACCGGCTCACGGGCGCGGATGCGGATGCGGGAACCGACACCGGCCGGCTCGAAGTCGAGCATCGCTCGTCGTCGTACCCGCAGTATATAGCTGCCGCCGCTGCTCGCGCATCCTCACCGACTTGCCACCGCCTCTCCCCCACCTTCCGCGATCGTCGTCCCCCTGCCTCCGCCTCCAGCAAGCAGCCCGTCGAATCGCCCGCCTTTTGCACTCGCACTAATGGCCGCCTGCGTAGAGGCAGCAGCCCCCGTTGCCGGCGCCGCGCGACCGACCCGCAAGAGGACGCGCATGGCTATGGGCCGACGACTACGAGGAGACCAGCCTCCTCGGCACGGGCGCCTTCGGCTCGGTGCACAAGGCGCGCCACCGCGGCACCGGCCGGACCGTCGCCATCAAGCGCCTCGCCGCGGCCGACGGCAGCCAGGTGGCGCTGCTGCGGGAGGCGTCCCTGCTCGAGGCGAGCGGCCGGGACAACCCGTACGTCGTCGGCTTCCACGGCCTCGCCCGCAGCCCGGCCACCATGGACCTCTGCCTGGTCATGGAGTGCGTCGGCCCGAGCCTCTACGACCTCCTCCACCAGCGCCGCTGCGACGGGATGCCGCCGCTGCCCGAGGCGACGGTGCGCGCCGTCATGTGGCAGCTGCTCACGGGCGCCAAGAAGATGCACGACGCCCACGTCGTCCACTGGGATATCAAGCCCGACAATATCCTCGTCGCCGAGGACCGAACCACCGTCAAGATCTGCGACTTTGGGCTCGCCAAGTACATGGCCGAGCCGCCGCCGGACCGCCGGCTCACTGTGGTACATGGCGCCCGAGGTGCTGCTGGGGAAGCCCGACTACGACGCCCTCGTCGACACCTGGTCGCTCGGCTGCGTGATGGCAGAGCTCATCGACGGGTCCCCTCTGTTCATGGCTTCCAATGAAGCAGACCAGCTCGACGTGATCTTCAACGTCCTCGGAGTGCCAGATGAAACGACGTGGCCATGGTTCTCGTCCACGCCGTTCGCCACGCAGATGGGGTCTGTTTGGACGCAGCCCTGAGTCACTTTTGCCTGGAAAATCTGTTAGCCTGGTATTTGGTTGAAGCCCTGGACAGCAGCTTAGGCCAGACAGATGCTTCTTCCCCAGGCAACCAAAATCGACTGCCTGGCTGCTGCTTGCAGTTGCCTGGACTTTAATCACCGTGAAAACTCTCCAAGGGCCCACAACTCTCCTTTGCAGGCAGTAGCTTTAACCAAACAGTCACCCATGCGCAGTCTGTTCGGTTGGCTGGTTCGTTTCGTTGTTGGTTTGTGAAGAAGTACTGCTGGCTGGTTTGTGTGAGAGAAAAATACTGTTCCGGCTGAAAATTTACGATCGTTTACGACAAACCACAGCCAAGCGAACAGGCTGGCGGTTGTCTGGCCAGGCAAATCCGAATGGATTTACAGGCAACATACAGGCAGCATCTTTCTTCAAGCAAATGATTCAGGGCTGCCGGAGCTGAAGATGAAGCCGCGCAACCTATTAGATTTTTTTTATTTTTAACACTTTTTATAAACTAATTTTAAATCTAACATTGTTTATTTTTTATTTTAAAACTAATATTTTTAGCCGCGCCTATTGCTATAGTGTGATAGGAGGAATGATGTAACGACGACCGTGACCAGTGACGTGGCAGGGCTTGCCTCTGTCACCGAAATTGCGCGCCATGCGCCGTGGCGCGGCAAGCAGCTGATTACCGCGGGAGGTGCAGCAGGCCTTGCAACGATTAGCGGCTATACCCCTGGCCTGAAGTGACGGGCAGGAAGCCATGCATGTGCAGCAGCGAATACTTACCGGCCGCCCAGTGACATTTGTCCGGTCTATATGCGGTGCGGTCAATAGTACCAGTGCAGTCAATGAGGTGGTACAGCAAGAGCAGGCTCCTCAGTGCCTGGACCCACAACAATTGAAGGCTTTGGCTTAAACTTATCCGCTTCTTTTTTTTATCCGCAACAGTATCATGGTTGACAAACGGATGATGGCTCGACATATATAATAGTGATGTCGCATCGTCCATGTGATGTGAATCAATTAAATAAACTAGGGTATACTCCTACTTTAGCAGTAGCAAGTAATAACAGATTATATATTAATAATCTGTGGTCCTATTTAGAATCAATTAATAAATAAACTAGTAGCAATAATAATAATTTATAGATATGTAAAATTAAACGGAGGATCGTAGAAGGTTTACGATGAATGAATAATTAAGCAGGCAATATACGGAACACAATAAGGCTCCGTTATCCATGAAGCTTTTTTTAGGCTTCAGCTCCGTAAACAGCTTTATGAGTGGAGCTCTAGCCGTTTTGATAAATCGTTTGGCAAAACAGCTCCATCTCGAAGAACGTCATGTAGAATGAGGTGAAGCCGAGAGAAGCCATTATTTTTGGCTTCTTCCCACCCGAAAGCTCTGTGAGAGCACGTTTTAGAGGACTTCATCGGTGGAGCCGTTTTATTTTACCCTGTTTAGCAGAAAACGGCTCCAAGCGGCTTCTAAAGCCGCTAGAGAAGCCCTGCAAAACGGGACCTTATAATGATACTAGGGTCTTGTTTAGATACCCTTAAAATTCCAAGTTTTTTCACTTTCTCTCCATCACATTAATTTTTAGCCGTTTGCATGGAGCATTAAATGTAGGTAAAAAAAATAACTAATTGCACAGTTTAGTTGGAAATCACGAGATGAATCTTTTGAGCTTAGTTGGTCCACGATTGGACAATATTTATCAAATAAGACGAAAGTGCTACTATTCATCGGTTTGAAATTTTTTTCAATCTAAACAAGGCATAGTGTTTTATTGGAGTACAATAATACTAGTGGGTTGCAGTAGTACAATCCGAATAATAACTGTACATACGCATATCCGGACCAAACACACATACACATATCCGGAGCAGAGCAGGCACGGCAAAGCCTGCTGTTGCTGTACCACCTCATTGACTGCACTGGTACTATTGACAGCACCGCATATAGACCGGACAAATGTCAGGCCAGTCGCATGCACCGAACCGCATATAGGTACTATTCGCTGCTGCACATGCACGGCTTCCTGCCCATCACGTCAGGCCAGGGCTATAGCCGCTAATCGTTGCAAGGCCTGTTGCACCTCCCGCGGTAATCAGCTGCTTGCCGCGCCACGGCATGGCGTGTCAGCGTCCCGTTAAGATCGGTGGAGCGGTAGATACTTCGGTCATTGTCCTATTCGTCGCCAAATCATCCCTCCTGCCGCGTCACCATATATGACGCGGCACAGACGTTTCGTCGCGCCATGACAATAGACGTAGGCAAAAATATTAGTTTTGAAATAAAAAAATAAACAGTATTAAATTTAAAATAGTTTAAAAAAAATGTTAAAAAATCACCTACTACGAGAGGAGTTTCTCTTGAAAAAGCTATCCTTGCAAGGATTCCGGGTACTCAGCGGTCTCCTCACCTGCAACCCCGACAAGTGGTTCACGGCAGCTGCCGCGCTCAAACACCCATGGTTCGCTAAGATGAACAACGCACCAGAGCTGCACCTGCAAAAGAAAGAAGAAGTAACATCAACGTTGCCCAAGATCAAGCAGCTTGTTCGGTTGGCTGGTTCGTTTCGTTGCTGGTTCGTGAAGAAGTACTGCTGACTGATTTGTGTAAGAGAAAAATACTGTTCCGGCTAGAAATTTACGATTGTTTACGACAAGCCACAGGCAAACGAACAGGCTGAAGAGACTAAGGGTGCTGTGTCCGTGACTTCGAAGTGTGCTTCCACCCTTGTGTGTTGTGTTGTGTGCATGTAAAACTAACTTATTCTTTAGAAAACAGATTGTAACACATGTGGTATTATTGCTGTGAATATTGTGATATACTGATATAGATTGCATCATTTGAATTGCATCCTTGTGCCCCTCTTTTGAATGAATTTGATCCGTCTTGCCATAAATAAAGCACTAAACCCTGAAGTTATCTTCTCTCTAATATTGGTATTGCAGCAAATGGAGTAGTATGTATACATGCTAGAATCAAATATGGATATTAGTTCAAGCACAGGCTGATCTTCAGTCTCACACTGCAGACCTATTAATGTTGTGCCAGGGTTTTCGTACGCTTGAATGCTGTGGGATTGCTAAACTGTAGCAATAAAGGATCACACTCGGGTTCAGTGGTTCTGTTGATCTTCAGTTATTGGTTAGACAAGCAGTTTACACAGTATAGAGTACATAGAGTAAAATGATCGGTGCAGCACTAAACTTGCACCAAATTCTGAACTGGGTGACTCGACTAAATTTGCACCCAAGTTGAAAACAAACGAAGTGCATCATCAAACATGCCACATGGTTCACCCAAGGTCCTTTAATTTAATTTCTGAATACGTAAGCACTAGTCATTCCACGTAAACAGGTTTAATCCATCGTGGCAGTAAAGATTAATTGTAGGGGCACGTACATCGTCCGCAGAAGACAGGTGACCCTGTGGAGCTGGGCAAATTTTCACAAAAAAAAAAAAAAAAACTATAAAGAATTAGGCAACGCAGTTGTTCTGTTTCTGCCCAACAAATGAGTGGCGCGGAGCATTTTTAGTTATTTTCCCAAGTGTGATACTTTGCTGAATAATGCTTGGGAAGTGTTCAACAAGTGGATGTTTACATTTGTAGTAACTAAGTGTTACCTCTACTGTGAAATTTTATGTTAGTAATCAATTGTGTCTTTTCATCACTAAGTGCATATTTACATATGTATATAGGTACATTCTTGATGATACAAGAGAATTGTCTATCTTAAAAAAGCATGCTAGAAAAGATCATGTCCCAATTAATGAACAGATTCTACACAAAAGGGAAAGGAGGCATTGGAGAAGTGGATAGGAACCCTCTGACCAAAGATAGTAAAGGAGGTATCACATAATGCATATTGGTCTGGTAATCTGACTCCTCATCCTGCTGGCCATAGCCATTGGGTGTACCACTTTATGGATAATGAGGTGAGTTACGTCGTTGAGATGAAAATGAGGGCTTGTTAACGTGGAAGATGGCAGTTGACGGGCATTACTTGCAACCATGTATTGGCATGTGCTAGAGATGAAAGGGTGAAACCAGATACATTGCTCTCTCCATGTTACTATCTCAAAAATTATATATGGAGGCACATGCGCAAAACATTTGGAATGTCAGAGATAAGAAAGAATGGAAGAAGACAAATGGTCGAGAAGTGAAGCCTCCTAATTAAGTATGACACGAAAGTTGGCATAAAGGGCAAATATAGAAGAAAGCATCCAATGGAGCTTGACGATGGAACAAGGATAAGCAAGCATGGTGCGCAGATGCACTGCAACCATTGTAGTTCAACGAAGCACAACAAGGCAGGTTGTGAGATTTTGAAAAGTTCTACTGTAGAAGTTGCTAATGAGGATTCACTTCGACTTCGCTGCCCAACAGGTCACCCAGCAGTCGAGCCAACTAGAGAGCTTGAGTGGTAGCGGAGGTGGCGGCGATGTACTCTGCTTCACAGTAGGAGAGCGCCACCACCTGTTGCTTGATCGATTGCCAGCCGATCAAGCACATGCCGAGGAAGAAGAGTGTCCCACTTGTGCTCTTGCTCGTGTTGTTGTAGTTGATGAAGTGCGCCACGCCGGGGCTCCTTGGGTAGTGCAGACCTAGTAAGAGGTGCCCGCGACATAGCATAGGATCCTCTTCACGGTTGTAGGTGCTCCACCGTCGGCCGCCGTATGAATTGGCTGACATAGCCGATGGCGAATGCCAGGTCCGGCCGGGTGTGGACAAGGTACCTCAGACTCCCGATGATCTATCGGTACTACGCTGCGTCCACCTCCTCAGCCGCGTTGTCCCAGCTCAGCTTCAACCTCTCCTTCATTAGAGTGTGGGTTGGTTTGCAACTGGTGAGGCCGCCCAGGTCGACGATGCATATGCGTGGACACCCCCGACCGGAGCCCTCACCCTCGCCCCCGTGCGTGGTCACACCCTGGAACCCTATGCTTGGTTCTCTTCCTCCTTCGCTCATGTGCTCACAGGGCCAAATCTAGAGGTCACGCGACAACGGCAGGCTAGATCCGGAGCTTGCACGACGCTCTTCTTCCTCAACGGCCGCCCCTCCCCTTCTCTTCTTCGTCCGACCACGTGCGTGTGCACTTGAGCGGCAACGGCTGTCCCACTTTGCATGGCTCTGTCCACCCAATTTCTGGGGGCAAAGTCATCCCTAATCTGCACTGAATATGCTCTAGTGGGATTGTCCCACCCCTCTCTGACTCTGAACCAAACAACTCCAAAAGAGAGACCATCCCACCAACCAAACACTACCATAGTGGCTCCATGGCCGTGTCTCGTGTAGTCGGTTGTCCTTAGCGGCTCTGTGATTGTGTCCCGTGTAGCTAGCCAAGTGGCCATCGACCACGTGAGCGCGCGGTCACTCAGAGAGAGTAGAAGCGGTTCGTGCCTCACAACTCGCTAATTGATCTTCATACAATTTACATGTTCATTCTTTTTCAGCTTTTCGTATTTTGCAATGTTTTATAAATGGATCAACTCATCAAAAACTATTAGTTTATTCTTCAAATTTTAGATAACATCATGTTGCTTATCCACTTTTTTGTCATAATTGTGTGATAATAGTATGTGATTGCGGTGCGATTTAGTGCATAAACCTTTTGATTTATTTTTCTGTTAGAAAGAACTCGTTCCACCTATATATATTTTTTTTTCTGAGCTTCGCTACTGGACACATCTTAAAACATATGAAACTAGATGAATTGTAATTGTTTTTTTAAATCCGCGAGCGAAAGTTGCAATGGCACCCATCAATTAATCCAATTTCCTTCTCTCGGCAAGACAGGAGACACAGGAAAACGATCCTCTCCTATCCGTGGGTCCCACCCCGGCCCCTCCTTCCCCGTCCCGTTTCCGTAGTTCTTGTCCGCGAGCCGCGCCACCGGCCTGCCGTCTGCAGCCGCCGACGCGGGCCCATCCACATCCGCCGCCATACCCCGTCCGCCCACCACCACGCCGCCATCTGCGGCCGAAGGCGCGCCCCCGTCCGCCCGCCACCACGCCACCGTTCGCAGCCACCGCCTCGCCCCTGTCTGCTGCCGCGCTGCCGTCAACTCGGCCTCGTCCGCAGCCGCGGCCCCATCCACATCCGTCGTTACACCTCCGCCCGCCACCACCACGCCGCCATCCGTCCCCTTCCGAAGCAGTGAAGTAAGCCTGCGCATCCTCTACCTCTCTTTGATAAAACTGGGCTTGGGCCCGCTCTACCCCGAAGGAACAAGGGAAGGGAAAGGAAACAGCAAGCGCTCCGCCGCCCTCCCCGGTCGCCGCACCGCTTCCCTCCCACGTCGCAACACCAGACGCCGCGCCCGTCGCCCGACTCGGAAGAACGGTCCTGGCCCGGCGCTGGCCCTCCTGCCGTTTGCCTGTACCCCTCCTGCTCGGATCCGTGAGGGATTCCTGTATCCACGGTGTCGGCGTTCTTCCTGCTGTCGCTGGCGCGATTCGATTCGTGCGTCTCGGTTTGTAACTGGAAAAGCAGCCGCATCATATTCTTTTTTTACTTTTAGCTATTTCTGATTTTCCTCATCTTGTTTTGGGGCCTGCCCTTCCTCATCTTGTTTTGGGGCCTGTTCCCGGGGTTCTTGAGTTGTTAATGTCAAGTGAGAAACCGACTGTACCCAGACATTGTTTTAATCCCCCACCTTTTTTTTTTGCACATGCTGTTAATTCAATAGTTGTCCTTCCCTCTGACACCCCAGAGGAAAATAAAAGGAAAGGAAAAATAAATGTTTTGGTAGTGAAGGGTAAAAAAGATCAAATTTACATTTAGCGAAGGTTGAGTTAGGAGAATTTGTAATTCCTGTGGAATGTCGAAGGCGAAGAACAATAATGGTTATCTTGGAGTCACTGAGCCAATCTCGCTGAGTGGACCGACTGAGAAGGACCTTATGCAGACAACTGAGGTTGAAAAGGTTGGGGATTTGTATATCAGATGAACCAAAAGCCCTTCCACATTTGTTTTATTTTCCTTAGATTCATGACATTTTTTTAATAGCATGGTTTTGTTTGTGTTGATCAGTACCTTTCAGATGCAGGACTCTATGAGAGCCAAGATGAGGCTGTCTTGCGAGAAGAGGTTTTAGGCAAGCTGGACCAGGTTGAACAATATCCATGGATGCTCTTCCATTTTTTATTATCATTCCCCTAGGCCTATACTGATTTGAAGATGTTGGATGCTGTCGCAGACTGTGAAAGCTTGGATTAAGAAGGCTACTAGGATCAGCGGGTTTGGGGAGCAATTTGTGCATGAAGCAAATGCAAAGATCTTTACATTTGGTTCATACCGTCTTGGGGTAATCCACCTTACTGTTTCTTAAATATCTTTTTATATATTTTTTATAAAAACTATAAACTGTTATTGTGCACTATGGGTGTGTTTGGTTGCTGCCTTTCTGTGCTCTGCCAAATAGTTGGCCGGCCAAATTTAGGCAGCCCAGGAATCGGCCGGGCATCAGCCTGAAATGAACTGCGCATTGGCCACGCGATGTTGGGCAAACCAAAACGTGGCTTGGATCCAAGCTCCTATTCTGCCTATGGTCAATGACCAATTTTTGATTGGGCACGCACGGGCGTCAATCCAAACGCACACGATGATTTTCATTATCTCATTCTAGGTTACTTATTAGGTTATATGTATATGCAGCCTCTGAATGAGGCAAGTGTGTTACACATTGTGTGTATGGATTTTCTATTTCATTTTCCCCATGTACGATCTTAAAGTTTCAGTTAGGTACAGATATTTGATTATTGCTTCTATCATGCTGTTCATCACAGTGGCTTAAATTAATTGCTCTGAATTTGTTGTGTAATCTGTTGTACAGGTACATGGCCCTGGTGCCGACATTGACACCCTATGTGTTGGTCCAAGACATGCAACTCGAAACGTAAGAGGGCCTCCTTTTGAAATCCCAGAGTTATTGTATCACTATGATGCCGAATGAACCTTTCACCTTTTCCCTCCACAGGAGTACTTCTTCAGATGGCTTCACGATATGTTAGCTGAGATGCCAGAAGTTTCCGAGTTACATCCAGTACCAGATGCTCATGTGCCTGTTCTGGGGTTCAAAATTAATGGGGTCTCTATTGACCTTCTGTATGCTAATCTTGCTCATGCAGTGATTCCTGAGGTAAGTTTGTCTTACTGCATTGCTGTTTGAACAGTCTTTCTATATTGCATACCATACTTCTCTTATACTAATTGTGACAAACAAGTAAATATTTGTACATTTTGGAGTAATTAATTAAAGAGTTGCTTGAGTGCAACTTAATATTTAACGTATTTGTTTTTGTTGGGAAGGGCGGGCCTGGTGCAAAGAGAGTCTTACCGCCTGTGACCGGAAGGTCCCGGGTTCGAGTCGCGGTCTCCTCGCATTGCACAGGCGAGGGTAAGGCTTGCCACTGACACCCTTCCCCAGACCCCGCACAGAGCGGGAGCTCTCTGCACTGGGTACGCCCTTTTTATTTGTTTTTGTTGGCAACTTGGCATGTGCTTTATCTTGTGAATGATGCCTTTGTGTTGGTTGGTAAGTGAATTATTCCATTATTTATGGCATTTGATATACTCGTAACTATTGTACATTATTTGATATCAGGACCTAGATCTTTCTCAAGACTCCATACTGCAAAATGTCGATGAACAGACTGTTCGTAGTCTAAATGGGTGTCGGGTTACTGATCAAATTCTAAGATTGGTTCCAAACATTCTGGTTTGTATTCTTGCAATACCTATTTTGAAGTAAATGTTCATAGTGATTTCGTTGTTGGATTAATACCATTTGTTTTCTCAATCCAGAGTTTTCGCACAACCTTAAGATTCATAAGATATTGGGGCAAGCGCCGTGGGGTTTACTCAAATGTATGTTTCTCTTCTGATTTTTCTTGTTGCAGGAGTATGCTTTACAGTGTTAACATGATACGTTCATAAATCGTGTAAACAAATGCTTTGTGATCCTGTCCAGGTTATGGGATTTCTGGGTGGTATAAACTGGGCAATCCTTGTTGGTCGCATCTGTCAACTGTACCCAAATGCATCACCGAGCATGTTGATATCTCGTTTTTTCCGAGTCTACAGCAAATGGAAGTGGCCTAATCCTGTCATGCTTTGCCATATTGAGGAGGGTTATCTTGCTCTCCCTGTGTGGGATCCAAGAAGAAATTACAGAGACAGGGGCCACCAAATGCCTATTATTACACCTGCTTACCCATGCATGAATTCCAGCTACAATGTATCTGTTAGTACTAGGTATGTGATGACCCAAGAATTCACGCGAGCGTTTGAGATTTGTCAGGTACATATTCTTTCAGATCTTTTTTATTTCAATCCTCGGACCACAAATAGAAAAAAAAAAGCTAGAGTTTAGGTTAGCTATAAGTTTTTGTTTAATCATATGTAGGAACTCTGTGAGTGTAACTCAGTGCAAACATTAGGTTAAATGATAGTTGCTAGTGTAGGGTACCTTTTGTTATCTTGATTTGGTCGGGTGCATATTGCTCATGTTTCAAAATTGGTTCATTTGCTAACTTTATTATGTCATACAGTAACACATTACTTATGCAGCACTTTTGAAATAATTGTCAACTTCAACATTTCCCCAGCATCGTATCTTCACCGTCCATATCTTCATTACTGCACAGTTAGATGCCATAATATTTGGTGGTTGGCCGATTTTTGTCACTTATTACCTAGATCAGCTCACTTGACTCTATGGTATCTCATTATGTCAGGAATGATTTGTTCCCTTTAAGTAATTGGCAATGGAAGCATTTTCTTATATTTAGTATATACATTCAGTGTTGTGTAGAGTTAAGGGGGGAAGTTGTCATATAACTGTATCAACTAACAATGTCCTGTTATTGGTCTGCGCTGTACTCTGCACCAAATTTACTTCAAAACTAATTGTAGGCCATAGATGAAGGAAAAGCAGACTGGGATGCATTGTTTGAGCCATATCCATTTTTTGAATCATATAAAAATTATCTAGAAGTTAATATCACAGCGAGAAATGAAGATGACCTCAGGAGTTGGAAAGGCTGGGTGGAATCTCGCCTTCGCACTATTGTATTAAAGGTGAATAATAGATACATTTCATTATTTTCATGAATGTGCACTCTCCTAAAATGCACCTTTTGCTACTGATGCAGATTGAGCGATATTCACATGAGATGATCCTTGCACACCCGTATCCCAAAGATTTCTCAGACAAATCCAGGCCCTTACATTGCTTTTATTTCATGGGTCTTTGGAGAAAACAAACCACCCAAACTCAAGAAGCTGAGCAATTTGACATCAGGGGAATTGTAAATGAGTTTAAGAATACTATTTGTGCATATCAACAGTGGAAAGAAGGAATGGACATTGAAGTGTCCCATGTAAAAAGAAAAGAAATCCCTTTGTTTGTTTTTCCTGGTGGAGTGCGTCCTTCTCGTTCTTCTAGAACAGCGCACAAGAACAGCCGTACCATTCCAACATGTGATGTTTCAGCTGATGATCAGGTGGGAAACCTATTGGGCGTTGCCAGTTGTAGTGATGCTCAACCTATACCATGTAAAGGCAGCTATATGAAGCAACCAGAACCAGATTGTGCTGGAGGCTTTCAGTTGCCGGGAAGTACGTCTGTGTTGGCCCCCAGCTTACCCAATAAAGTAGCTTTGAATGGGTCTGCTTTTCATGCAGAATCTGTTGAGCGTGAACATCCAGAATACTATCAGGAAAGCAAGTTTGCGACTGTGCAGAATGTTGTTTGCCATGTAGTCAAGCAACCTAACAGTTTGCTGCCAAATTCAAACAACGGTTGGCAATTGTATGGATCTGATTCCTCTCTTAACAGTGCACAAAGAGAATGTGGAGGCAGTGCTGCAAACAACTTGCTGAACTTATCCCCAGCTATTCCAGCCACACCTGATGAACTTGATGAGCTGGTATCCCATCATCAAGTTAATGCTAATCAGAAAGATGTAAATGCTGAACGGAGGCCATCTTTGGAGATAGGTTCTGAAAATAACTTGGAACAAATATGCAGTCTGAGGCCCCAAGATTCTAATAATAATCTGAAGCGCAAAGCCAATCAAGAGCTCGAGGTATGATATTCTCTCTTGCATCATTAGTCTTTTAAGTATATATTTCAAAATTGCTCAGGATGCTATTATGACCTTGACAACCAATACCTGATTTTTCTCTGCCCTTCCCTGTGAGCTATGACCTTGCATTTTTCTATAGTTTCAGTTAGGATGCCCTGTTACTGTGATATAGTGGCAATCAATAAAATGTAAAGGCATGCCAAATGTAAATACAGTCTATTTACCTTGTTTCATTTTCAATTACATGGGATATATCTACATATGCTATTACAGCTCTAAAGAACATTTTGTTTTTGCATAATTGCAGCAGATACTTTTGTTGAAGTAGTCATCTAATTCCTAATAGTTCTGCAAATACTACTGTGTTTGTGAATCTAGCCGTTGGAACTTCCTCACGGTGCTTCATAGCTTTGTGGACCAAATGTCTAGTTTACTACTTTATGGACCCAAATCAACCCAATTCGCAAGTTGGTGTAATTGTTGCAATTAACTCTTTTCTGGAAAACAAAACAGAAAACTTTCATTTATATTTTCTGGTATTATTTCCTTTGTATTTTGTTATTAACGGTGTGTTTGACCATTTGTTTTGGTGCTCACAAAAGCCACTTGAGCTTACCGCCCCATCCACTGGTGCTGCGCCGCAGTCGACAGCAACTGCCCCAAGAAAACCACTCAGGTACTTAGTGCACCATCTGAATCATCACTTGTTGTAGCCTGCTGTTTGTTAGTGTGATATTACACGTTAAAATGGAATTCCTTGTTGATTTCTTTTGAAGATTGAGGTTGACGACTTTGGGCAAACCGAAGCCAGCTGAAGGAACTTCCTGAATCGAATTGCCCAGGAGCCAACATAGCCTGCTTTGGCACTGCGAGTTCAAATGAAAGGGAAAGGGAAAAAACGGAGGCCACCTGAGTAAATGAGTGCAATTGTAATAAATGTATAGTTCATAGCTGAGTTGGCATAAATGTATGCAGTGGTACATTTTCTTGACGACTTAGCTACGCTTGTAATGCAATGGATCTGGTAAATGATGTTAAACGGCAATGGATATTATCTTTGAAGCATGTGATCTTCTCATGTGTGTCACTTGTTTGTGAGTGGGCGCTCTTGTGTATGGCTTTCTTGACAAACGTAAAATTCACTCATTTTTGTATTGCTGCCACTTTGTTTAACAACTTGTCGAGGCAAGCTTCACAAAAGGCCTATCTTCGGTCACTTGACGATGCCTAATTATTATTTTAGGAACTATTTAAGATGCTCTTAGCTAGCAAATTTTTAGCATAACACAAGGGCTAATAGTTAATTGTTAATGATGAGCTAATACTCCATCCGTTCCAAACTAAGTAATGTTCTAGGTTTGTTCTAAGTCAAACTATTTTAACTTTGATCAAATTTATAGGAAAGAGAAAGAACATCAATATTTATGACACTGAATAGTTAGAATATGAAAATATATTTCAAAATAAATCCAATACTTCATTCGTTCCATATTATAAGTCGCTTTGACTTTTTTTTACATCCATTTTGATATGTATCTAGATATATATTATATCTAGATACTTAGCAAAATAGATGTACTAAAGAAGTAAAAATGACTTATAATTTGGAACAGTGATACTTATTTGATATCATAAACATTAGTATCTTTTTATAAATTTGGTCAAACTTGAAATATTTTGACTTATTTCAGGACTATCATTGCTAGGGACTATTGGAGACGCTCTTAGCTAGCAAACTTATAGCATAGCACAAGGGCTAATAGTTACTCCTAATTGTTAAGGTGAGCTAATAGTTCATTGCTAGGGAGTACTAGCTATGGATCGAACATGTAAGGTTAAGAGTTACTCCCTTGTCCACAGAAGAAGAATGTAATTCTCGCTTTTCAGGAAGTTAAACAATTTAAACTTTGACTAAATTTATATAAAAATATACTAACATTCATAATACAAAATAAGTATCATTAGATTAATTATAAAATATATTTGAAGACATAAATATTAATATTATTTATTACAAATTTAGTCAAACTTAGACTAGTTTGATCGGCACAGTTAATATAATTGTATTTTTTTGCGGAGGGAGGAAGTAGATGACTAATTTGCTGTGTTTGTTCGGCGCTATTTAAACGTAGCGATAAAGGATCAGAGTTCATACACGAGTTCAGTGGTTCTGCTATGTCTGTTCTCAGAGTAACGGCATCAACGAATGTCCAGCTTACTGCCGTGCTGAACTCCGCAAGGGAACACTGAAGAAGCGAAGGGATTATAGAACGTGTCATTATTTATTTATGGACATGGCCTTGCCTTGCCTCAGTAGCTTACATCATCGTACACGTACGTACATACATACAGAGCCACACTTATTGCACTGCCTGCCGCTTACATACATACTGTACTGTACATACATACACGTCGAACGTCTCCACTCAGGCTCCCTCGTACTACGTACGCACGTCGCCCCCAAGCGCGTCATCATCCTCGTTCGGTCGCCGATCAGGGCGGCGGCCTCACATCCTGGCGGTCGCCATCCTCAGGAGTGTCTCCACCACCTCCTCGCGGCGCCCGCGGCCTCCGTGGCGTCCTTCGCGTTCCTCCTCCTGCTCCCTCTCCTCACGGCCGCCGTGGCGTCCGTGGCGTTCCTCCTCTTTCTCCCTCTCCTCACGGCCTCCGTGGCGGCGTTCGCGTTCCTCCTCTTGCTCCCTCTCCTCACGGCCGCCGTGGCGTCCTCCGCGCTCCTCCTCCGGGCCAGGAAGGAATCCCTTCTCGTGCCGGGCGCCGAGCACCTCGTCCACCTCCTCCGCCTTGGCCGCGAACGACAGCGCCTTGGCCACGCGGTCCAGCTTCTTGAGCACGTTGTCGGCGCCGGCCAGGAACACCTTCTCGTTCTTCTCGGTGTGGATCTCGAAGCACACGAGCTCGAGGTTGCTGTCCCGGGACGCCACCGCGACGAACGGGTGGCCTACGGGCACCACGAACGCCGTGCCCGGCGACAGCCGCGCCCGGATGGTGTGGTACCCCTGCCCAGCTTCCTCCTCCTCCTCGGATCCTTCTTCTTCTTCGCTCCTCCGCCTGCCCTTGCCGCGCTCGCGCTCGCCGCCCTGCGACTGGTGGTGGTGCGGGCACACGATCTCGGCGGACCCTTCGCCTTTCGCCACGTAGCTGATCTTGAACGAACGGGTGTTGAACAATGGCGCGCTCATGGACCCCTGTAACGAAGTGCTCATCAAAATCGCAAGCACAAGCTAGCCTAGCAACGGTTAATTTAGAGGGGGCGCACGCGCGCACGCACCGCGGTGATGTTGGTGAAGGAGACGCTGACGTCGTGGTCGGCGAGGTCGTGGAAGCTGCGCGCGTCGGCCTCGTAGAGCTGCCCGTGCTGGTTGCCGATGCTGGGCCGCTGGTCCAGGAGGCTGTAGGGGCCGTGCGACTCGCCGAACGGCGGCAGGGGCCAGTGCGGGCCGTGGCCGCCCTCCGAGGCGTGGCGCTGCAGCTCGCGGATCTGCTCCTCCGTGGCGCGCACGATGACCCCCTTGTCCTGCCCGCGCTTCCCGAACAGCCTCTCCAGCCGGTCGCTTGAGGTCTGCGACATGAACGCGATGTGAGCAGTGAGCACACACACAGGTCGACACTTCGTTGCTGCACATGTAAGACATGTATGTCATGTGTGTACTACGTACCTTGTAAGCAGCTCTCTGGATGCTCTTGCTGAAGCTCGACAGGAACGATTCCGGGTTCCTCCCGCCGGGGCCGAAGAAGAACTGCCAAAAAAAAAAATGACACGTCAGTCGATTGGGTTATGCAACAAACAATCCATGATGTCTTGTTTAGAGCTTAATAATAATTACCTGGAACTCGCCAGGCACGGATATGGTGTGGAGGATCTTGGCGATGACCAGTTTCTTCCGGCCGTCGGTGTTGGCCAGGTAGGTGATGGCCCCGGCCGGCGCCACAAAGATGTGGCCTTCCTTGATGGTGTACGACCGCCTCTCGCCGTTCTCGATCGTCGTCACCACTCCCTCGCCTAGCAACCAATGAAATCCAGTCGATCAGCTAAGCACAACAACAAACGTACACGACGGCGTCGTCGATCACGGTCACCGGCGTACCTTGCACGACGTAGCAGATGCAGTGCGCGTCGGTGTGGCTGGGCACGACGAACGAGCGCGGGTTCGCCTCCAGGACCGCCACGCGGTAGTTCCGGATGCCGCGGAGGAGCTTGGACGCCTCGTGGAACGGCCGGAGCGCCCTCACGGACCCCTGCTCGCTCCGGACGACGCGGCGGAAGCTGCGCCGGTCGAACACGTACGGCCGCCGGCCCTGCTCCTGCTCACGCTCGTCTCCCGACGAGCCCTCGCCGCGCCGGTCGCCACGGTGGTCGTGCTCGTGCTCGTGCCTTCCGCCCTGCTCCTCCTGCTGCTTCTCTCGCTCCTCCTCCCTGCACTGCTCCACGCACCGGGCGCGCTGGTGCCAGGGACTGTCCTCGCACCGCCGCGCGCACCGCCAGGACTTGTGGCCCCCGTGGCCGTGGTCGTGGTCCTCCCAGGACGACGCGAGCGCGGCGCCGGCGCAGAGGAGGGTGGCGAGGAGGAGGACGATTTTGGCGCTCACCATCGTGGTTTAAGTGGCACTGTGCTCGCTCTCGTGGGTCGTCGTGCTTCGGTGCCTTGGCCCTTGGGTTAGCTGACATGCAGAGGCGGAGTTGGCGCGCATTTATACGAGCGCCGGGCCCTGGTACGTGGCGAGGGGGCGCGGCCGCGCGGCTACGTGGAGGAAGGCAGGCACACGGGTCGCCACGTCCCGCCGTACGGAGTACTCCTTACCGTGCTTATCCGGGCTCCGGCTCGGTGCGGTGCATGCCAGGGTGTGGCCGCCTCTGCGCAGACTTTGTCGTGTTACACGGTGGTGTCGTGTTCCAGGGACTCTGATCCGCGGCGAGCGACCGAGCGTGTAAAAGAGTTCTATAGGTACACTGAATCTGGACGCCGGGCAGCGGGCAAATTTTCTTTTTTTGTTTTTTTGCTGTAAAAGAGTGAGCCGTGAACCGGATCGACAGGCTGCAGTTTCTTTGTTTTTCAAATTTATTTATAACAAAAACAAAATTATTTAAAAACAAAGGATTCTGTTGCTTAGAGCATATAATACACACAAAAAAAAAAAAAAAATTGTAACTTGCTATTCCTGGTAGTCGCATGTCGTCTAATTTAGACGGCATCCAACAAAAACCAAAGGAATTGGATTTTCCTTTGGCATAAGCTCAAATAATCAAAAGATTAAGTGCCAAATGCTTCACGGAAGTTGTTAATAAATCCTGAACAAGCCTCCATTTCCATGATTTAGAGGAACAAGTGTTGCAGTGGTGCATAAACAGATTATATTGGAATGCGCATCCGACTATGGGAAGAAAGAATGAAAGAAACTAGTAAAAGAGAAAAAGAGAAAGGTAAGTTTCATGTCTCAGCAAGGAAAATTAAACCCGCTTAATTGAGTGGACATGGTGGTTATTATTTTCGGAAGTGTTAGTGCCCAGATGTACTCTGTTTCCCCACGCGCGTCTGCACTCTACGCCCTACGGTTGCGCCAGCAGCCTCCACCCGCGCCTGCGTTTCCCGTGCCCACGCCGCCCGTACGTCGCTCGCGCCACTGTACACAGGGACTGCTCGCGCCCCGTCCCGCTTCACACACGCATCCCATGTGCAACAGTCGACCTACTTTTAAAACATTCATATACAACATACGTCACTTGAAACATGTTTCTAAAACACTTGAAAAAACACCTAAAAACACTTGAAAACCATTGCAAACGTACGCAACACATAAATAAAACACTT